GTCACGTTTAAGTATTTCTGTCTTAATGGTTGACATTAATTGATGACACGTTGCAGTTTTGTTTGTTTTTAATTTCACTAAGTTGTTAGTTTTGACGTAAAACATAAAATCGATCAGAATAAATATAGATCAATCATTATAAGACCGCTAACAATCTGTACTTATGAACTTAATCAAAATCATTACATGTGATATAAAAAATACAGCTTTTGCATGTTCAATACAGATAACTGGGTATTCATTTTGCGTGTATTTCAAAGTACGTTTATACACTTAGGTTAAGAGGTGTTAGCAGCAGTAGCTTTAGCAGCGAAGGTGCGTTTTCCGAATATAATGGGCGAGCTTCTGTACATCCTGTAACTTGAAAACGTTGCCTAAGGTGTCGAATAGCACAAGAAGGGCATTCAATATTCATAGTGACGGCATTCATAGTAATAGCCAATAGCAGGTTCGCGTAAATTTTGCGAAATTCTAGGCATATCAAAAATAAAGAAACATGGAAAAAATATCAACGTCTTTTTCTTTTTGACATAAAATTACACTGAAAGGTTTCATGTCTTATACACAATTCTACTGGTCCGTTCATATGCGTAAAAATTGCAGGTTTCTCCAGCAAAACGAGTTAAAATTTAGTTAAAATTTGTTTTATCTGACTCGAATATATGTAGATCATTTGATATTTTGATGTTTTCAAATAACACTAATCTCCGCTTAAACTGAGGGGAAGTTTCTTTTTTTTTTGTTCAGTATATATTGTTCATGATATGTTCATAAATTCTTCCAAGGGTAGTTCGTAAAATGTCCTATTTGCATCCTTTGTCTTTAAACCTCGGAAAGATAACTTTTGAAATATGGGTAGCTTTAATGACATGAACAATTGTTTCTTGTACGGAAAAAGTATAATTAAATAACTTCTAAAGTCCATGAACATCATAAAAACTGAAAGTCTTGCAGTAGCGATACATTAGCTTAAGCAAAATGCCATGTTTATGAATTGAATATTCACCACCTTTGCTTTCTATGATAAGTATTATTGAACTTAAATGCAATCGATAAATCGGTACAAAAGTACTGAAAACTACTGTTATTATTACGATTGGTGTATATTCATTTTAAACTAGTTTATATTTTTTATATAAAAAAAAATATAATGACACGAACTACGAAGTAAAACAAACTGTGTACAAATTTTGTGTTTGTGCGATGCTAAATATTCTTGCAATTGTAAGACTATTAATGTATGCGATAGACCTTAAACTTTACATTGATATTTCATAAAGAATATCTACAACTTTATCATTAGCGCTATCGCCTAATTTAAGGATGGTCGATGATAAAAATGTTTGGAGACAATCATAATTTCTCAACATTTTTTTTGACCATTATTTTAAAATTTGATTCTTCTTCAACTCAAAAGAGGGCTTCATATATTGATAAAGCTTGAATATCCAAGGGAGTTACGATGAAAGCTGATAAAGACAATAAAACACCGTTTTTAATATAAAAGACAATGATTTAAGCTTTATTGTTTGGTTATTATTGATGACAAGAGACCCAAATCACTTTAGTTAAGATTTAGCAAGTAATCTAGATCCAGATTTGTCGACAACATTTGTTAACCGGATGATCTTTAATAACACGCATAATTTTCTTTGGAATGATACGATTTATTTCGCGGGTCGTCAAAAAACAATTAAAGTACATGAAAACATTCAACTTGCCCTTTTTTATTGTCTTGCTTTATTGCAAAACATATATTATTTACCTTTTAGATATGAGATATGACAAAAAATGTGTTTAAATTGGGGTAAATATAACAAACTTAATATAAAATATGATACACAAGATAAACAAGATAAGGCGAACATATCCCCCAATAAAACCCCTGATATTGAATTCCACACTAAAAACTGGACAAATCCTGTAGATTAATTCTATAGACGAAGGAGAAGTATTGATTTACAAGTGTTTAAAATGTAAAAGTTGATAAATAAAGTAACCAAACTATAGTCACTGTGACTTATGTATGTTTTCTTTGACAGGGTTTCTCTAAGGACATTAAGCTACCAAAGTCAGCTTATCTATGATATATCAAGGATTATGAAAGGGCAGCACTTATGGGATGTGAACTTAACCCTAGAATCTGCTATACCGAGTTCTCAAAGACAATATGCAAACAAAAAGAGGTGAGATTGCCAGTAATTTAAGTAAATTGTAAATTATAATTATATGTAATGTTTCAAGATCTGTTTTCCAATTTTGACAACCGTTATTGAATTATATACATTAATCCAATTTCCAATTGGCGAAAATTACCAAACTGAAAATAGTTTTAGTCATTTTGTGACATCTTATTTGTACAGTGTCACAGCAATCTGAAACTTTGCATTAAGATTTTTAAAATGTGCTTATAGTAAAATATAAAAAGAGTTGATTCAAAAAATAGATTTTTTACTTTATTTGATACATGTATATATAATACAGTTAAGAGTTTTTAGCTCACCTGTCACAAAGTGACAGGGTGAGCTTTTGTGATCGCTTTTCGTCTGGCGTCCGTCCGTCCGTCCGTCCGTAAACTTTTGCTTTAAATGACATCTTCTCATAAACCACTGAGCCAATTTCATCCAAACTTCACAGGAATGTTCCTTTGGTGGTCACCTTTAAAAATTGTTCAAAGAATTTAATTCCATGCAGAACTCTGGTTGCCATGGCAACCGAAAGAAAAATCTTTAAATATCTTCTTATAAACAACCCTAAGAGCTAGAAATTAGATATTTGGCATGAAACATCTTCTAGTGAGTGTCTACCAAGTTTATTCAAATAAAGGCCCTGGGGTCAAAATTGGCCCCGTTCCAGGGGGTCATTGATTTTCCCTATATGCATTTAGTAAAAACTTAAAAAATCTCCTTTTAAAGAACCGTAAGAGCTAGAGCTTAGATATTTGGCATGAAACATCTTCTAGTAAATGTCTACCAAGTATGTTCAAATATGAGCCCTGGGGTCAAAATTGGCCCCGCCCCAGGGGGTCATATATTTTCCCAATATGCATATAGTAAACACTTAAAAAATCTTCTTTTAAAGAACCCAAAGAGCTTGAGCTAAGATATTTAACATGAAACATCTTCTAATGAGTGTCTACCAAGTTTGTTCAAATAAAAGCCCTGGGGTCAAAATTGGTCCCGCCCCAGGGGGTCATTGATTTTCCCTATATGCATATAGTAAAAACTTTAAAAATCTTCTTTTAAAGAACCGTAAGAGCTAGAGCTTAGATATTCTGCATGAAACATCTTCTTGTGAATGTCTACCAAGTTTGTTCAAATAAAAGCACTGGGGTCAAAATTGGCCCCGCCCCAGGGGGTCATTGATTTTCCCTATATGCATATAGTAAAAACTTAAAAAATCTTCTTTTAAAGAACCCAATGAGCTAGAGCTAAGATATAAAGCATAAAACATCTGCTAGTGAGTGTCTACCGAGTTTGTTCAAATTAAAGCCCTTGGGTCAAAATTGGCTCGCCCCAGGGGGTCATTGATTTTCCCTATATGCATATAGTTAAAACTTAAAAAAATCTTCTTTTAAAGAACCATAAGAACTAGAGCATATATATTTGGCATGAAACATCTTCTAGTGAATGTCTACCAAGTTTGTTCAAATAAAAGCCCTGGGGTCAAAGTTGGCCCCGCTCCGGGGGGTCATAGATTTTCCCTATATGCATATAGTAAAAACTTTAAAAAAAATTCTTTTAAAGAACTCAAAGAGCTAGAGCTAAGATATTTAGCATGAAACATGTTCTAATGGGTGTCTACCAAGTATGTTAAAATAAGAGCCCTGGGGTCAAAACTGGCCCCGCCCGGGGGGTCATTGATTTTCCTAATATGTGTATAGCAAAAACTTAAAAATCTTCTTTGAAAAAACCCAAATAGCTAGAGTTTAGATATTAAGCATGAAACATCTTTAAGTAAATATCTACAAAGTTTGTTCAAATAAAAGCCCGGTGTCAAAACTGGCCTTGCCCCAGGGGTGTCATTGTTTTTAACTATATGTGTATAGTAAAAACTTTAAAAGTCTTCTTTTAAAAAACCCAATTAATTAGAACTTAGATGTTTAGCATGAAACATCTTCCTATGGGTGTGTACCCAGTCTGTTCAAATAAACAAATAAAAGCCCTTGGGTAAAAATTGGCCCGGGGGTGGGGGGCCTATATACAGGTGAGCGACCTCAGGGCCATCATGGCCCTCTTGTTTCTCTCATATTTTTGTCCCCCAAAAAACTACAAAAATCCTGATTCTGAGAAAGAAAAAACAACTATTGAAAAAAGACTGCTTGACAATGCTTATTAAGAAACTGTTCACTTTTGTGAGAAACAAGGGGCAACTAATATTTCAATTTGCTAGAATTAAAAAAATGATCTGATTCACTTAGTCTTGCATCCATCTAACCTATGTTGGTGATAAAATCTTTAGTAACTTAGTTTGTCCGTTTTAGATTGTAAAAAAATAATAGAACAAAAAAGCTAAAGTTTACAAAGGTGTATCCAGGTTTGACGTGTTTTAAAGACGGAGTACGACATAATCCTATAGAGAGTATACTAGGTTTTCAAGACTGTGGCTGGAGACCTGCACCTAATAAACCGTATGTATTATTTATTAAGGGCATCTTTTTCTGTATTTTACACTAAAAGAAAGACCTTTTATTTCTTAATTGAAGAGGTTTATTATGAAGTACGCATGTATTCGTCACACAGATTTTGAGAAATTATAAAGTTAGGCTGATGCATGCATGGGTAAAACTTTTTAGGTATTTTTCTGAATTTGAGTTTTTTTTATACTGTGAAAAGCTTTAAATCAATGAGTTAAGAAGTACTAAATGCAAAATTCAGAGTTTTGACATTTATAACTTCTTCCTATGTGTATGAGGTGGTGTATCATAAAATTAACCTGTTGTAACGTTGTTGACAGATGGAGATATAATAATGCCATGTTATGTATTTTGTCTAGGTAGGAACCTGTAATGGACTCTGATCAGCTCTACAACATCTTTAAAACAATACTACAGCACTGCAAGGTAAAAATATGATTTAAAAGTAATAAAACTATTTGAATGCATCTTTGTTGTTATAATAGGACCTTGAAACATTCTTTTTAACTGTATCACTTTTTGCATGTCTTTAGGTATGCAATTTGATTTTCTGATAACTCCCGAGATATTGAATTACCCATACTTATTATCAGAGTTCTTTCCCTTCAATTGTTATATATAAGTAGTTGCATTAAAAGTGTTTGTCGAGTTTGAAGAGAAGTTCTCAATAAAATTCATACAGAAAACATTTAATTCAAATGACTGTTAGCCAAATTAGACTTGCATTGTAATAGAAAAAAACAACTTCCCTGTGTTTTACAGACTCATGCTAGTGCTTGGCCTTTCCTGAAACCAGTGGAGAAAGCTGAAGCCCCTGATTATTATGATTACATCAAGTTTCCTATGGGTAAGTGACATATGTATTTTCTTTGTTATCTTTTTTATGCTTTTTCCCTTGCTACATTTATGAAGTTAACTTTTCTTGCTTTAAATTCAGAATATTTTAATATTTTGTTACTTTTAAGGGTTTTCAGGATGTCATGATCCCAAGCTTCTGTTATAAAGTTTTATCATGAATGCCCACTTGATTTTTACTCAGGTGCCTGAAAAGGGGCACCTGATGTTTTCCTTTACCAACGTTGCCATATGACCATCAATTGTCGGTGTGATTTTAAACGCAACCGAAAATAAATGATCAATCATTAATCTTTTCAGAACATACTTTTCAACCCTCTTTTTAAGGATAACTTTTGCATTACAAATGTCAAATGTGGAGCTTTAAGAAAAAAAATATTTTTGTAGATTTTATGTATGTATTGATTAAATTGACTTTAAATCAGTTGCAAATTCTATTTATAGATCTTAGAACAATGGGAGATCGTTTAAAGAACAGATACTATGTTCACGAGAAATTATTCATGGCCGACATGATGAGAATCTTCACAAATTGTCGTTCTTATAACAAACCTGATACAGAGTATTATAAATGTGCCAACACCATGGAACGATTCTTCAACAATAAACTCAAAGAATTTTCTCTGATTGACAGATGATGGATCATAAGGTTTCCTTTAAAATCTGTTGTGGTTTAAGCTGTTGGTGTTAGGTAATTTCAAAGGTCGTCAAGCTTGAAATTGGACTAGACTTAAAATAAGTCAACTTGAGAATAATCACGATTTCAAATAGAAAAATGTTCTTAACTCAATCTATAATCTATGTTAAATTGAACATACAGGACAGTAATTTCATTAAAGTTTTACTTAAAGTCATATTTAAGTTATTTGTTTTAGATAAAAAATATTTTGAACCTTTATCAAAAAAGATACATGTATGAAAATGTCTCTTGACTTTGAAATGTGTTAAGTTTGATGGAGGATGCAAGTTTTACAAATTTAATCTATTAAGAGATGAAAGTTTAAGTTTGATAACACTGACGTTATTTACTGACTGATGCTTTAGACCTCTGATTTTAGTCAAATATTAATTAATGGTTGATGATTCAAGCTGTAACTTCAGAAGTGTTGAAGTTGAGAAGAAAAGTGGAAGAGATTGAAATTGAGACAGTCGAGTGTGAAAAATATATGCACACGTTTGCAGAAAAAGAAAAGGAGGGACAAACGTATGAAGGGTATTTATATGGGTACTTCTAAATGCTGTAAAAGTGATTGTTATTACAATGTATATTCAGTAGTCGAAGAAACAGAAAAAGAATGCGTAGGGTTTATCTAATAAGACACTTTTCTTCACAACATAAAGTTTGGTGATAAAAGTGTAAAATGGAAGTGTACTGTTTCCTTTGTTAAAGTTTATTATTCATGACTTTTACAAGATGTTATGTATTTTCAATATAATTTGAACTATGATATTAATGTAAATATATTTATATTTTATCATTTTAATTATATTTTTGAAAGTTTGTCTCTGAAAGAAAAGCAAAAATATATACATTTAATGTAGAGAGGAAAGCAGGAAATATTTTTGTTATAAATATTGTACTGATATCAAGGTAAATTGATTAATAGTGAATTAAACAAAATGACAAAATGCTAGTTTTTGAACGTATGAACCAGCTTGAACTGAAAGTGATAAGTCTATGCCACTAGTACAGAGCAAAGCATGCACATCTTTGCAGTCTGACAGGCTTTGTTTAACTGATAGCTTAATAGCCTAACGTATCTTTGTTTTGTATAATTTTGTTTTGAAATCAACGGGATTTATATTGATTGACTGTTTTAAATGCGAAGCAAAATAAGTAAAATATACAAATTCATCATGTTATGTGTAAAATAAAAAAAAAGAATTATTTGTAATATGACTGAATTTAAGATGAATGCAAATTAAATTAATATTTACACAGCATGAATAGTTTCTAAACCAATAAACATTTTTTAATAAGTAAAAGATAAAGATTAATGTAAAGAAATGAACATATTCAAATTGTTGCAAAACAAAAAGTATCGCATGTATGAAATTATTACTTAGGGAATACATTAGTACAAGACAATATCAAGAATTTCGTTCATGCAAATTCATGAAAGACACATGTGAAATTTCTTATTTATAGATACATGTATTATTTATGATTTTTACTGGAAACAAACCCTCACAACCACATCACATTTGTTTTAGTATGTTAAATACATTTTACCCTTTTTAATTGTATGTACTTCGTATATGAAGGTAACAAAAATAAAAAAAATAAACTTCTTACTTGTGTTATGCTACAAAAATTAAAAGATTAATGTTTTCAGTAAAACTTCATATTGTAAATGTATCACTAGATTAGACCACTTAAACTTCACATACGTCTACAGTGTTACAGTTGAAAGTCAGTGTCCAAGATCCATGAGTAAGTGTGAATTTTACTGATTATTACCCTTTCTGAAATAAGACTTTTGCAACTGGGACAAATTCCCCCATTGTTAAAGAATAGGGCTATCCCTCTCACTCAACCCTCCATGCAACGCTTTGGTTAAAGTTTTGCATGCAACATATTTCACCAACCACTACTGATATTTGCTTTTAACTCCACACACATGTATTTGCGAGCATAATTGGTTGCAGAATTATGATCCTTTTTTAACTTGAAAAATTCAGGGTTAATGTTTTGCATGCATGCTTCTCAAAATACCAATTTGAAACTTTCCAAGGCCAATAATTCTGACATGGGTTTTAAGTGAACTGGTGAAGTCAAAATAAGTTTACATTTTGCAATACTGCCTTTAACTTTATGTTTTACTTTGCATGAACGATAAATAACTAATAAGGAAATTTCTGCAAAATGTCATGGGAATTTACCTGAAATGTTTACTTTATAAAACAAGTGGGCAGTATTTTCATACTTTTGGCAGATTTATTTTTATCTTAAACATGTCAAATCAACTCTTAGTCATCACCAATATAAAAGTCAATCTTTGAAATATTAAGTCTATTCAGCTTAACTTGACAATGACACAACTGAGTATAGTGTCACTTTAAAATGCTAAATATAAAAAATGCCCAGTGGTAGAATACAAATACAGGTACTTTAAGAAATTGCTGTTAGTGTTTTGTTGAACCAATTTTATGCTTAAGGTTCATAGAGTTAATAATTTTTGCCCTTTTTAGCGTTTCTGAAGTTTCTACTCTTCAAAAAAAAAAAGATTTATCACACGATCTTACGTGCACGTAATTTTGTATCACTGGCAATTAGTGATATTGCAAAGCTTACCTCTTTGTATACATTGATTATTAAAAATGTTTCGTTTTACAAGTCGTGCAGTAGAAATGAGATGCTTCTTAACAATTAAATACAATGCATTGCTTTTATAAGTGTTTATTAATATTTCAATCGACCCTGGCATGGCGACTTCACGTCATGCCAGTCTTACTGATGGTGTTTAACGTGCATTATTTCTTACACGAGCGGGCTCCAGAGTTGAATCACCTACACTCTATTAGCTAAATGGCTCATAGCTTTCACCTGACATCAATATCTCTGGCAGGATTGAAACATAGCGATGATGGACAAGTGACTTTATGTTTATTATGCCCCGCGCAAAAACAACGTCAATATTAATAATCATTATATTTATATGAGAATACTTGAGCAATGCGGACACGAAAATATATAATATTTTAACATTCGACTTATTTTTTTCCACAAAGGACTAGACTCAATGTCAACAGTTGACATTATTCCCGAGGTGAACTTGTTGTCCGAGGTTGACTAGAAAAAACATCAGATGACAGAAGTCCGATTTAATAGATGTCCTCGGTCGATTGTTCGGAGCTAGCTATCGATTTGATTTCCGCTGAACTATATAGTTCTATTTTTATTATTTCTGGGGCCGAGAGCCTAAGGTTTTTGACATTAGCTACTGGTTATCACCGTTAATGATTCAAATCCTGTCAGAGACGTTCAATTCGTTCACATAAGGAAGCTATTCAGATAGATTACGTAAGATCTGTGGCTCCGCCTTGGTTCCCAATTGTACCTGATATATTACCTGATATAATGCAAGGAAGAGGATTCAATGGCCTTTTTCACAATGGAAGCTGGAAACTCTCTATTAGTTTATATTAGTTTTATTGCAGCCAACAATAAACTTAAATCAAAACAGCGGACACATCGTAAATAAATTGTATTTTCATCAATGATTTTAGCCTTGGATAAATTATATCATATTTACATGAACTTAACAAATGTGATGTTAATTATAATGATATGATCACAATACAACTTTGGTTTGTTTGTTAACACGGCATTATATAATACGAAAATATAACTGCAAATTTACTGAATGTTTGTGGCAAACTAACAAGAGACAACATTTTGGTTAAGTACACAATTTAACAAAGTTTCTAACGTTTAACTCAAACTTTGTCAGTTTTACCCGTAGAGGGAACTTTGAACGTCTACATGTTTGAAGCATACTTTCTAAGTAAATTGCAAATATGAAACTTTGCCGCATTGTTTCGTTCTCTTTGTTGAAGGGAAAGCATATAGCACTGTAATGCTTCCCTTGGTTTGTCCTCTTGTTCCATACATTGACCGAGAAGGTTGAGAGCTGTCTCCCTGTGACCAAAGTTTCTTCCTGTAAATATAACCTTCACAAGGTTACTAAGTGCCCGTTGTTGATCCTGATGTCTTTGTAGATAACTGTATGTCTTGTACTGTAAAAAGTAGAGAAAAGGGAGGGAATCAACAACAGCATAATCCATCCAGTACCTTTCATATGGACTTCTGTGTGCCGTATCATCTCGTGTAGATCTCATCAATTCATACCGTAATTCTCGAGGCACACAATTTACTTCTTTCTGCGTGAATTTTACACAACATGATGCGATACTGTTGATGCAATTTTCTCTTAATTCATCGCATTTTCTCATAAATTCAGCAGACCGACTTGACAGTGGATGAGGCCAGCAGGCACATACAGGTTCAACAACAGTAGAGTTATATCGACTTTCAGTTTGTCTCAGAATGAACTCTGCTCTATCCATATCACCTACACTGTAGAACATTGAAGCTAGTTTTAATCTGCCAGATGTAACATCTGAGTTCAAACCCAATGTAAGCCACTGAAGTGCTTCATATTGAACTGTATTATTCTGTTCAATACTTGATGACGCCATTATAAGGCCTAGTGTTGAATATAAAAATGGAACCAGATAACGACTTACAAGCTGTTCCATTCTATTTTCGCTTGTACTGTAGTATGTGAGCTTTAAGATAATTTGCTTAAGATAACATATATGATCATTTGACAAGTTATTTATTAGCGTTAATATTCCCCCGCTTATCTCCTTCATTAGACCGATGAAAAGTTCAGACAAACATTCTTCGTGTATCTCAAGTGAGGTTGGAATGTTGTATGTAAGATGAACAAATGTACTTAGCTTGACCTGTAGTCTCTGGCTTATACTATCCATCTTTATTTGAAGTAAACATCTATCATCGCTCTCTATTATGTAACATAATTTCTTTAAAACGTCTCGCTTCTCGTCAGCTGTAAATTGTCCGGCCATTAAGTTGTTATCAGAAATAATGAAATGCGGGCAATTTTCATTTTGAACATGGCTATGGAGTTCTAGCAAGCAGTAAGATAAACATGTAAAAAGATTGTCCCTTTTCCATATGTTTTGTTCTGTATTTTCAATACAATGTAATAAAACGGTTTTACACATAAAAGTTGAAAGGGCACTCACATTTTGTGCATTCAAAAAAGTTTTCAAAAATATTTTCATTAAAACATAGCATTGTAATTGCGTAATATTTAGATTGAACATCAAACATCTCTCTGGTAGAGAAGTAGATAGTCTCCACTCTAATTCTGGATAAGCAGCAATTTTGCTACAGGCACCAACAACAAAACAATCATAGCTACCAGCATATCTGATACTTTCAGATGATAACCACCTCATAACAGCAGCTCTTTCTAGAAAATGTGATGTTGATTGTGGCCATGAATTACAAGGGAAAGCAAAAACAATGTCATTGTCGCAGTATCCATTTACCCCGGAGACAGCATTTGATGGTCCGTGTTGTTCAGTAATTTCTCGGAAAATGCTTGTTAGGAATGAATGTCTTAATAATATTCTCCCATTGCTATCTCTTATGTAATGTTCATTAGGAATGTTTGTCTCAAAAATAGGTTCATCAGATCGAAGTAGTTGTAAAAAACAATATCCTGGTGTAACATTCTCATCCTGTATCAGAAGAAGGTTTCTCTTATTTTGTTTCCACTCTGCCCAGTCTTGTATCACATTATAATCATAATCTACAATCACCCTGTCAACATCTGAATCAAGTCCTATAGTAGTGGTACCTTCAGACTGACTCCCAAGAATATAATCAGTTACTTTTTTACCAATTGATCTGAATGAAATCGTTGTTAAACTCTCATTTAGCATACATGTTCTTCTTCTTTTCAACACCATTTTCTCATTAACACCAACATCCTCTAATACCTCAGATAATTTCAGTGACAAAGTTTTGCAATATTCAGGTGACTGAAACATTCTGTAATGATAAAACATATGTAGCCTTGTCAAAACATAAGAATCATGAATGAGTTTATGATAATATAAAGTACGTAATTTTTGTTGTTACCAGACATTACACTTGTGTAAAAAAGTGACCTGAATTTTTATCAGTTATTTAAAAATAGAACATTGTACATTGTATCTCTTCTTTTATTATATTACCAGTGTTTTTATGTTAATCAACATGTTATATACTTGTTGTTTAAATTATCTTTGATATAACAAATCTGATTTTAAGAATAATAAGATGAAGAGTTAAGATTGCATTGATGATGTGAGTATTTTACTAATATATATGCCAAAACTAACCCATTAAAGTATGATAATATAAAAATGAATTATAATATCAATATACCAAACAAAAGTTTTACTTCCTCTTTCAGTTTTGAAAAAAAAGCACACAAAAACATTTGCTAATTTTGAAAGCTCCTCATTAATGTTACACAATTTACATGTCATTTATGACAATGCGGTATAGGAAATATTACATAGATACAATAATAGCATTATGTATCAAAAAATTTCTTTTTACAGTTAACAAGTACCAATTAGAATATTTCTGAAAATTGATATTCAAAAATTAAAACTGTAGTAACTGTCCTAGGAGAAATAATTGCTTAACTTGCTTCATAGATTTATTTGCTATCTGTACCACTTAGTATAGTTTCAAAATGAAACGATTTCTATCGTTACAATTCTTATGTTTCTATCGATCATAATTCATTTATTACGTCGCAATTTAAGCTTACAAAACTTCTGGAAAATAAACAAACATGTAGTATTAATAAATAAATGAAAATTCAGTATAAATTATTAGATATAAATTAAACTTACTTTTAATTGAAATGTATCAATTTTTCTGATATGTTTTGACTGACGGTAAACAAATACTTCCAAGGGTGATTTGGAAAAATTCCAATTTACTCTTCCTCTTTCGATTTTCAATGCACGAAAAGTTAACTCTTGTAATATAAGTAACTACTCGGGTTCAGCTTTAACTCCCTTGGATATTCATCCTGATGCCCTCTATTCAATAGCTGAAGAAAGAGGCGAAAAGTTATGATTGCCTCCGAGCATTATTTCAGCGACCACTCGTAAATTAAGCAATACCGCTAATGATGAAGCTGTAGACATGGTAGATACTTAGTATTCGTAAATGTCAAGTTTAAAATATATCGCATATGTATATATATTATCTCTTTCAATTACAATAATATTTAGCATCTCTGCACGTGCATGGAAAAACACATACACAGTAACCATCCGGTTTGAAAGATATTGCCGTTATTGGTTAATTTTAATATCAGTTGTATAAAACAACAGCAAATATGTTTTCATTAGTTAGGAATAATTTTACTTATTTCAGTATCATCTTATTTAAGAACTAGAGTCATTTTAACAATAAGGCGGATGGGCCAGAAATCCTGTGAAATATTTATCTTCATTTTGAGACATCATCCAATAATTATCGAGATATAATTCATTCTGAATATATGTTTAAAATTGATGAGATTTATTATGCTAATTTTGAAATATATCCATTTTTGTACCATTATTTCACATAATTAGTATATATACATGTATATATAAAACTGCAAATAAATCTTAAAAGGACTCAACTGAGGTTTAAAAGCCTAAAAGCATAACATTTAAAATTCTTAAATGAATGAGCTGGGGGACTTTAAATAGAAATATATGCAAAGATAGTTAAGAAATATACTTTGAAATAAACTGAAAATCGTATTTTTATGCTTTTCTTAGACCGATTTGAGTGAAAAGCGTTTAAACGCTTTTCATTTTGGGTCATTTTTTACAATTTGAATAATTATTTTGGAAAAACGAAGTGCGCGTATGATCTGAAATTTTGCACAAAGATTTGTTGTCTAATCCTTCATCAAATGGTACATTTATCTGGAAAAAATATTTTCAGTCCCATCATGTCAAAAACCTCAGTGGAGTCCCTTTAACATTGACGGCAAGGACCAAAAAGTTGTGATTGATGTAATCGGTGTGCCATGCCATGCCATTATTAAATAACAGAAATATGTATTTTGAAAATAAATAAGTGTTTATTTTTTGTTAACAATGTGCCGCTAATAGTTATTTATTGCTGAATCGGCGAATCACACAAGATACGATGAATGTTTGAAAATAAAATAGTTAAGGCTTTTTATCTTTTTATCAAAACAGAAAAATATTTAGGATTAATTTCTGTTTTATCATGCAAGTTTTAAGGGCATTTTATTGAAATTGTATGTACGATAAAACGTTGTTTTATCACGTTCCTTATTCCATTCAGCTAGTTAATGACACAACAAATAGAAAAGCACATTTCTATGAGTTACAATGATAATCTGTACAAAATATGTATAGGCCACCCGTGAGTTACAATGATAATATGTACAAAAAACATGTGTAGGCCACCCGTGAGTTACAATGATAATCTGTACAAAAACATGTGTAGGCCACCCGTGACTAACAATGATAATCTGTACAAACCATACATTAGAAGGCCATCTGTGAGTTACAATGGTAGTCTGTTCAAATTATCCATTTGAAGGCCACCTGTGAGTTACAATGGTTATCTGTTCAAGGAATCCATTTTAGGCTATCTATGACTTACAATGGTACTCTTTTCAAAGGCCACCTGTGAGATACAGTGTGGTAGTTCAAGGAATCCATTTGTAGGCTATCTGTGAGTTGCAAAGATAATCTGTTGAAAGAATCAAGCTTTGTCGAACAAACATACGGATATTACTTCACTGACTGCCCGTATGTTAGCTAATAATGCCAATATTATCAATCTAAGAAATCACTTATCACTATTAAGGCGGTGAAGAGGGAAATTGTAGAACAAATGAAAGAACTTACGAGCATTGATATCTATTTTAATGAACATGTTGTTATCAGTTTTTTTGAGATCAGTTGCATCCACGATGTCATTTTGTATGTTCATATATGTTAAATGAGGCCTAAAAATGAAGTAAGCAACTTTAACATACAAAACATTTTGAACTCCTAGTCGATAACTAGTAACTATCTTGGAAACAAGAAGGATTGGAAAACTTTTTCCGAGTGACTTTTGAATAGATCATAATCAGAGGAACCTATGTAACCTCCTGGGAAATACGGCATAATTCAATAATATTATGACTGACAAAAATCTCCGACAATCAGAATCAATTGTGAAATAACACATGACATACGATTATATGATTAATCTGAAATACTTCCAAAAGTTGTAGGTATGTCATTAATTAATACATAATAATCAGCAAAAAATACCATTTTTACATCTTCCAATTAACGTTAGAAAAGTAAAATTCAACTCAAATGATTCAACAATTTTTGGCAATTGCTTATTTCTTCTTCCCCAATCGTAAATTCTCGTTTCTCAGTCAAACTTCGGATAAGCTGTTATATATTTAGCCCAGATGTTACAATTGCTTTTTTCCATGTTTATTTAACAGAAACACCATATCGGGTCGGTGAAATATTACTCTTGTTTTTAGGCCCATTAATTAGAATTATCATTTTAATGCCTGCCCATAGACAAACAGTTATGCCATTGATATAATCAACTGCTTTGCAAAACTTGCCACTTTGTTTTCATTGATTATGAACAATGAATTATTATTAACAATGCCTTATTGTCTTTACGAGTCATGCATGATGTCACTTTTCAAATGTTGATTAATATATTATTTTTTTAATCATTGTAACATTGTCTAAGGACTTTAAAAGAAGTGTAGCCTCAAAGTGAAATTGTTTGTATCTACTTTTTAAAGGTATGTTTAGACGTCTGTCAAATCTCTCAAAATACTGATGATAATTACTCGCCTTTGTTTTAAAGCAAGATTTTGGGGGCAATTCAATGGAATAAGAAAGCGCTTCGTAAACTTTTTGTAAATATTTGAAAGTTATCCGACAGTTTAATAAAGAAGTAAATGAAGTGATGATTTAACTTCACTTTAATGTCGGGTTTTATTTTCAGAAAGGTAAAAAGTTTTGGAAGCGGGATACATATATTTTGCATTTATAAAGAAGACAGAACGAATGTTATTAAAACCATGAAAATTGCTTGCCTGTGAATAGACTTAAAAACGAACACTTACTTCAATAATAATAGTGGATTAGGAGAAGGAGGAGAATGGGGAGTAGAATGAGTTGGGGAGGAAAAGGAGTAGAAAAGGAGGAGAGAAAAAGAGATGGTGGCAAGCAGCAGTAGTAGTAGAAGTCAGTGGCTGTTGTTATAAAATATTTTGGCAAAAACCAATATATCATATTGTGGGTGAAAGTAGCAGTAGTAATAGCAGTAAGTTGATGTAATAGTAAAATATTTTAGCAAGAATCAATATACACGTGTCATATTGTGTGTGGATGGAGCAGCAGTAGTAGTAGCAGTCAGTGGCTGTAGTAGTAAAATATTTTAGCAAAAACCAATATATCTAATTGTGTGGGTGATGACAATTCAGCAGTAGTAGTAGTAGCAGTAAGTGGCTGAAGTAGTAGAATATTTTAACAAAAAAAACAATATATCGTATTCAATAATAAACATTTATTAATTTTCAGTTACTTAAAAATGGGAAAAGGCATAGGGACTGGTGATGGTGTCGGTAGAGGGTCCGGACATTATAAAGGAAAGAGTGATCGGATAGCGGTACCAGCGATGCCTTTACCTATGGCTCTAATTTGCTGTGTACTTAACTTCCTGATACCAGGTTTTGGTAAGCATTATTTTACGCAGTGTCACTTGAAGTTGACCTGTGTCAATACGTTTTCATAGTTTCTCAAACTTATAACTATTGTTTTTATAGTGGAATCCCTTTGACCTAAAATGGACAGTTCCTAATTCAAAGTAAGATATGTTCATTCAGCAAATTTAGCCGAGTAAAGGCTGAAGAATTAGATATTGTTGAAATGTTGGTGTTTTTTTTTTTCACTTCATAGCTCGAGTTTTTATTTTATTAAGTCATTACAAATAAATCAAAATTATTCAAAATGAATATACATTTACCATAGCACAAATCCTACTTAAGACAAATATGAACTAATTAAAGTTAGATGAACACTTATTATAAAAAATAAAGCTTGTGCATGTTTATTTCATATTGAAAATTAATAAGTTTTTTTTTTAAAACTTGTATTTAAAAAGGTCCCGCTATTGCGGGTTTAAGTGTTTTTGTGCTCAAAAGAAGATATGGAGGGGGCGGACGGGGTTTTTTTACTGTGGGTCAATTTTGGTTTAGGAGCCTAAAAAGCGTTTCAGCTCTGTTTTTTTATAGGCTGGGTTTGGAGCTGTGTTTGGGGATACTATTTTATCTTTAGCAGCAGTAAGTTAACTATATAACTTTAACCAAATAATGCAATGTATTTGATGAAAGATATTCAAATAACCACAGTAATTTAATATATCAAGAGTGTGTTGCTATATCTTTAATAACCTGTCTGTCGATCTTTTTGATAAAATACATCAAGAGGAAGTTGCTTTATCTTTAATAACCTATCTGTCAACCTTTTTGATTAAATACATCAAGAGGAAGTTGCTTTATCTTTAATAACCTATCTGTCAACCTTTTTGAGTAAATACATCAAGAGGAAGTTGCTTTATCTTTAATAACCTATCTGTCAACCTTTTTGATTAAATACATCAAGAGGAAGTTGCTTTATCTTTAATAACCTATCTGTCGATCTTTATAATAAAATGCATCACGAGGAAGTCGTTTTATCTTTAAAAACCTGTATGTCGATCTTTTTAGCATAATTAACTAATGCCGTGATCACTTTAAAGTTGAGCAAAGTTTCTAGTAAATATATCATTTTGACATTTTGACCAGGTGTCTGTTACTGATAGATCTGTAAATAACTGGACATTTTTCTGTCCATGTTTGACTAAATATGACCACGGTATTGACAAATACAATGTCAAATTAACTAATTTACAGTCATACTGATTAACATACATGTCAAATGTTTTGTCTATAACATGTGCTAGATCTCTTTACTGTTTCACATTTCACGATATTGAAGTCAGCCAACGATATGGATTTTGAAAGTCCATTGGTTTGAGCGGAGTTGTCCGATTTGATAGGTATAGTAGCCTGTGCTTCATTATACCCGGACAAATTTGCAAAGAATTGAAACTTACAATTACATCTCCAGTTAAGTTTTCGGCTATCATTATCATTAAACATTCTCATAAAACTTCTGTTACATTTATCTTACTAAATAAAACAGAGTAACATTACTTCAAAACATTATATCCCAGGTGAATACTACAAAGACAACAATCCGGAGGACATAGATGGTGCACCGGAAGCTGTTATCGTCAGTCAAGGAGGTCAGACTGGTATTGTACTTTCACAACCGTCAGCCATGTCCGTAATTGTTAATCAGGAATACAGTCAAACGGGAACACAGGTTTATATGCAACAATCGGGAAATCCATACCCTGTGAACCCATGTCCACCACCATACCCTGGAACTGAAGCTTCAACATTTAACAATGTTGTCCATCCAACTAAGTAAAGAAAATGTCAAAAACGTTTTCGAACAATATATTTACCAATCAAACTAGTAACTTTTATCTTGTTTACCAATTTTTATTTGTAATTGATTTATTTATAATTGTTTTGTTTTCATATTAGTTACAGTGAACTTGTACATAATGCAAGTAGCCTGACTTCCTTAAGAGAACTTTGAAAAAAATACAACAACAACTTTGTTCTTCTTTGCTTTTGATTGCTTGTGTTTTTGTTGTATATTTTTTTATTTATTTCCTTTGGTTAACAAAATAAAACGCTGGGAATTTTAGAAATTGTTATGAATTGTTTGGAACTGGATTTACTTTTCAAAGCTAAGAGCAAGCTAGATTTTGTGCAAGTTTCATATTACATTTATACTGACTAAAACATCAACAGCAGCAACATCAACAATTATACAACAACAAAAACGGATAACAACATGTGTTGAGGTATATAACTTTAAAAGATATTTAATACTTAACATAGTCTTCACATTGTGGATTTTTTTTCCAGAATCAGTAACAAGTAAGAAATATTCATACCCAGAACTTTTTGTTGATTTGTTTCCAAATTAAACAACAAATACAGAAAACAGTTAGTGACTGCAGCCCTTTGATTTCAGGGATTGAAATAATGTTTTTACTCTGTTCTTTAAAAGCAGACGACTTTTTAAATGACTCCGGGTGTAATTAAAGGGTAGAAACTAGCACATACCGGTTTTTCGAAATAACAAACGTTCTATAAATAAATTCTTTATTCCCCCCCCCGCCAATTAATCGATCAGCTATATACCCGTATGTGATTATCGATAAAAAAGTAGGTTAAGTAAAGCAAATACCGTGTGTACATATATATGTAAGGCCTATTTTCAAAAAAGGGATTACGTACGTCAGTACACATTTTGTTATTTCAAACAAAGGTAATTTTTTATGTTTTATATATTTACATATAACACAGTTTCATCTTAGTTAAGATTTGCAATCATAGGCTAGCAAACAAACAATTGTGTTCTAGATTATCTTAAAAATTCTAAATCATGCGTCGTATATCAATAACAATGTGAAGAAAAACATGTGTAGAACATTCCTCCTTGTGTGTTTGGTTTTTATTTTACAGTAAATAATTTCTATTATCAATATTTCAAGTAAAGTAAAGTCAATGCCAAATATTCTTTATTAAATACATTTCATGTTAACTTAAATCAATGTGGTGAGTTACGACAATATAAGAAGAGGTTTTTGAATTTAAGCGTCCTCTAGTTTTTGTAAACATAACATGTATATATACTTTAAAGGCCCATTATGCTTCAGAAATGCTACTGTTTTTATTTCTAAAAAACTTGTTTGGTATTTTGTTACAGTTTCAGAAAAGGAAAGAAAATTCTCATTTGCCATAAAGAGGAACTATCTTTTGCCTCTTTTTTCTGTTAGCAATTGGTATGTTAATATTGAATAAGTATTTTGTAAGAAAGTCAAAATACTACTTCGAGTACATTTTGCTATCTTTTCAGCACATAAATGCACGTCAAGCGCTACTTAATTAGCGTGTAACATCTTCTAAATCCATTATTAAAACATTATCAAACACATTTTTGACATTTCTAAAGAATTAAGAAAAATTGTGCATCTATCTGAAGCATAATATTATGTGCCTTTAATAAATTTATAAATGAGCCGTGTCACGACAAAACCAACATAATGGGTTTGCGACCAGCATGGATCCAGACCAGCCTGCGCATCCGCGCAGTCTGATCAGGATCCATGCTGTTCGCTTACAAACCCTATAACAAGTAGAGAAACTGATAGCGAACAGCATGGATCCTGATCAGACTGCGCGGATGCGCAGGCTGGTCTGGATCCATGCTGGTCGCAAACCCATTATGTTGGTTTTGTCATGACGCGGCTCAAATGTACTCTTGATCTTGATTCGTTACATTATCACATTTTATGTAGAAACGGAAGTAGTCAAATATGGGCCGAGGAGACGGATCTGGCTGGGGATCAGGCTGGGGCTGTGGTGGCTATAAAGGCAAGACAGAAAGAGTCTTCTTCCCAGCAATGCCAATCCCTTTGGCTATCTTGTGCTGTGTGTTTAACTTCCTTATACCTGGCTTAGGTAAGTGACTTACAATTAACTTTTTATTCAAAACTGGTTTCAAAAAGTTTCAAATAAGCATTTATAGGACAAAAAAATCAAAACACAGTTTTCAAAAATCATTTACACAATTAACTATATAAACAAAAGGATTTGATGTTACATATAATTATAATATTTTGGTTAAATAAGCAAATTGTAGTGATAAAAAGATGACTTCTTTCTTTCCTTCTCTCTTTTTTTACATCAATCCACGTGTTCTGGTTATAATATTGATCATTTTTCAGTGTCTCTTTTCGAACATGCATACGTATGCGTCCTATAGGAAGTCGGGAACGGGACCGCAGATTGCGGCTCATGTCATGTCATAGTATATAAATAGGTACGCTGAAGACCTTAAAGATCCTGTAACACAATTTTTATGGTTTTATTTCATAAATATTAAGCTCAAAATAAGATTTGTCAATATTGCAAGTTCCAATAAGCATTATTCATAAAGATATTATCCAATTTAACATTTCGTGTAAATAAAGGGAGGTAATTAGAAATTTATTTTCTATAAATTCTCAGTCAAAATTTCCAATAAGAAATAAATGAATGTAATTTATTGATTAAATATAATGTGCACAAATATTTGCAGTACACATTTTACATATTCTTCGATGTTTGAAAATTGTTTTATTTGCATAATTATATACATATATAATTTTTCGCAAGTGTGGTATACACATAGTCTTCTCACTTCCCCTCGGAGCGTGCACGTCGCTGAGAATATGATATGATATGATAAACAAGATCGACAAGGAAGGGCGGCATTCAATGAACGCGAAGAACGCGAAGAATGAACGCGAATGAATGAGAAGGCACAGGGCATCGGCAGAAGATTTACAACTTGGCTGGTAGACACAACTTAAATTTTGCCTTCAACCGTGGGCGGTAACTACGGAACTACTTCGTCACTTCTGCGGACCAGCTGCCGATGTCCTGACTAATGCCGAGGGGAGTGGCCCTACAAAGTAGGCTGAGACGACGAGGATGGTGTGCTAGGGTGCGTGAGCCCCTAGCACAGATTGACGGCTTGTAAGGCAGGCCTATAGCTGGCACCAACAGCCCTTTTCAGGGCTAAAACACCTTTCCTATATTGTCAAGGTTGCTGTACATTTAGGTTCTCATTGACCGCCGTACAGTGACCTACTTTTCGCTCAAAATTCATATCTTTGGCTAATACTCCGTGGAAATTGCATGGAGGTAAAATTATCACCATTTTGTGCTTCAAATTAACTCTTTAAGGACATGACTGGTGACATGTCCGGGGTCGAGCGTACTCGACCAGCGCAAGCTGCATTTTGTGCCCGGAAGGGCGGATGGACCCTCATTAAAGCTTTAACTACATACATACGTATACACATAGTAACAATATCAATCACAAAATTCAACGGAATCTAATCTGAAATATGATCAACTTTTTACATTGCTAATTTTCAAGACGCTACTCGAAAAATCGCAGTGTCGCGTTCTACCTTAATTAAGGTCTTCAGTGTACCCGTTTACATATTTTTACATGACGTGAATGCCGCATCAGATGAAAAACAAAAATCTTAAAAAAGCGGTTTATAAAGTTTTGAAAGCCAGCTCGGGTCCTGTTCCAGAGCTCATATGAGGCGTGCATGTAGGCACAAAGTATATAAATTATATGTGCATTCTTGTTCATATATTGCATATTGTGTTACATTTTTTACATGTACACACCAATCTTCGAATTTTGACAAGTTTATTAATCATTTGGCAGCCAATCAAATCTGGGAATTATTTTAGAAGATATTCTAGAAAAACAGGGTGAGGGAATTATATAACAATTTGCATACAGACTTTCATTAATTGGTTCGCAAATCTCGGAAATATATCTCAAACCCCGTCATGTATAAAACTCGCAGTGGAATTCCTTTAAGATTATATCAGCATTATGTCTTTGTCTTTGATTTCAGGTTCAGCAATTGCCGGTGTTAGCGTGTTTTGTTGTGCTCGAAATGAAGATATGGACAAGTCAGCTAAGGCTTTAAGTTGTGTGTCTAGCTGTGGTGTAGGGTTTCTGCAGTTGGTGACAACTGTTTTGTTGTTTGTTGGCTGGTTTTGGAGCTGTTTCTGGGGCGTCACATATCTGATGATGAGCAGTAAGTTCATATAAGTCCATATAGACAAATGCAATTTTTAATGACGGCCATATTGTTCGCGGCCATTTAGAAGAATCAGTCACTTTGATCTATTGTAATTATATCACAATGTTAACCCTTACACTGATAGAACCAAAAGAGATAAGACATTACTTCTAGTATAGAGTCATGACAAAAAGAGATAAGACATTGTTTCTAGTATATGGCCAAAAGAGATAAGACATTGCTTCTAGTATAGAGTCATGGCCAAAAGAGATAAGACATTGCTTCTAGTATAGAGTCATGACAAAAAGAGATAAGACATTGCTTCTAGTATAGAGTAATGGCCAAAAGAGATAAGACATTGCTTCTAGTATAGAGTAATGGCCAAAAGAGATAAGACATTGCTTCTAGTATATGGCCAAAAGAGATAAGACATTGCTTCTAGTATATGGCCAAAAGAGATAAGACATTGATTCTAGTATATGGCCAAAAGAGATAAGACATTGCTTCTAGTATATGGCCAAAAGAGATAAGACATTGATTCTAGTATATGACAAAAAGAGATAAGTTATTGCTTCTAGTATAGAGTAATGGCCAAAAGAGATAAGACATTGCTTCTAGTATAGAGTAATGACAAAAAGAGATAAGGCATTGCTTCTAGTATATGGCCAAAAGAGATAAGACATTGCTTCTAGTATAGTCATGGCAAAAAGAGATAAGGGATCGCTTCTAGTTTATGGCCAAAAGAGATAAGACATTGCTTCTAGTATAGAGTAATGGCCAAAAGAGATAAGACATTGCTTCTAGTATATGGCCAAAAGAGATAAGACATTGCTTCTAGTATATGGCCAAAAGAGATAAGACATTGCTTCTAGTATAGTCATGGCAAAAAGAGATAAGGCATTGCTTCTAGTATATGGCCAAAAAGAGAATAAGACATTGCTTCTAGTAGAGTCATGGCCAAAAAAGATAAGACATTGCTTCTAGTATAGAGTCATGGCCAAAAGAGATAAGACATTGCTTCTAGTAGAGTCACGGCCAAAAAAGATAAGACATTACTTCTAGTATAGAGTCATGGCCAAAAGAGATAAAACATTGCTTGTAGTATAGAGTCATTGCCAAAAGAGATAAGACATTGCCTCGTGTATAGAGTCATGGCAAAAAGAGATAAGACATTACTCCTAGTATAGAGTCATTGCCAAAAGATATAAGACATCGCTTGTAGTATAGAGTCATGGCCAAAAGAGATAAGACATTGCTTTTAGTATATGGCTAAAAGAGATAAGACATTGCTTTTAGTATATGGCCAAAAGAGATAAGGCATCGCTTCTAGTATAGAGTCATGGCAGCCTACATGCACGTGCAGTCTAACCAGACTCTTATACTACAATGTATTAAATTTTAATCCTGATATACCTTAACTGATGATTGACATTTTCCAGAAATGGAACCTGGACAAGTCCATTTTTTAATAAATTTCGCAGGTTAAGGGTAAAGCTACTCATACGTGTTGTCAACTGTTAATATCGCGCATTTCTTATGGAAGTTTATCACAATATTGGTAATATGCAGTGTGGTTTAAACAAATGCATTGCAACATTAATGTGAAAAAAACATCATGCAGTATGAGACCATTTGAAAAGTGTTAAAGTATTAATAAATATATTAAAGTGGTATCGCAATGTAACTGTAACGACGGGCTTATCTTTTTTTGAACTGGAAAGGGTATCTGTGTGTTACAGTTGAGACAGTCTTTCAGTCAATTCAAATCTGCAAACTCTTTTTGAAACAGGAAATACAACAAACTTATAAGTTATTACAAATAAACTTAATATTTATCTATTTTTTCCAGTTGAATATTACCATAACAACAAAATAGATGACTACGACAGAGGGACTGCGATAACGAGCACCGTGTCGGGGACGCAAACAGTGTACGAGAATGGTTCGAGTACCCCGTCCGCCATTATAATTCAACCTGCACACTTACCGTTCCAGCTGGCACAGCCTGGTACCCAGCCTGCGGCATGTGTAACAAAACAGCAATCAGTTCAATTACCTCCACCATACCCTGGAGTCGAGGATATTGGAACGGCACCACCACCACCATACGGTGAAGTAGTGTATCAATCTGGTTCAGTCTACCCAAATCCCCCTCCTGCACTGAATGCCAACGGCAGTGAACACAAAGTAGGGCTTTAAAAATGTGTAATGTGTAAGAAAAAATAAGAAACTGGAAGCAACTGTGATATTTACATTTACTTCTTGATATCATAAACTCAAATCAAATCATTATTTGTTCATGATGTCATTACAAAAAAGTATTTTCTGTTATTTGTTTATGCTACTTTCATGATACAAAGAAATAATTATATAAGAATTATATATGAAAAGTAGTTCCAGTAGTGCAATTATAATTTACTGCAAAATGCCTTGTTGAAACATAAACGACATAAAAACTATAATACTGATTAAACTGCCATATTTAAGTCGATCAAAAATCACCAAGGAATTCTGAATGACGACCGTAAAGGAATTTTAAGTAAATATCTACAAACATGCGCCAAATATCACGTTTTGTAATCATAGCTTGTCATTTCAAGACACGCTACTGTGCAACAATCGTGCTTTAAATGAATGGTTAAATGAGGATTTTTCTTTCAACAATACTGGTGATTTATTAAAGCAGAGACTTTAAATATTACATTAAATCTAGCTCGGTGATTAACGTTACATGATGAACGTTTGGTTGAACTCAATATGTTGTGCATTTTAAACCACACTATTATCCCGATTACCTCAGCTATTATTGTGATAAAAGTGTTACAGTAATTGATATTTAACGACCGAAATGTTTGTGCATGCATTTATCATTGATCAATAATCCATACGTTTATTTTTGGAAAAAGATACTTAAGTATGTACTATGTTGTACTTTTAATGCATTTATATTTGCATTAATATTATTATTCAAACAACTTCTCATTCATTAAAATGTAGTTTTAAGCGTTCTCTTTTTTACCTCTTAGATATTAAAATATCAAATAGCACGAAATGTTTTTGTACGATCTATCAAATATCTATATTTACATGTATTTTAAAATATGTATTATGTACATTGTAAAATTTTGCTGGGCAGAGTTTATTGTACATTTGTATTTTTATTTTTCTACCGTAAATTGTACATGTACACTGTATTTACTTTATATTATATCATTTTCACTTTAAAATAAAGTGTTGCCGTGACTGCATTTATTCTTTTTAATTTTTTAAAAGTATTTTATTGACTGTGATGCACATATTTTCTGTAATTTGCAATTATTTTCTGTCTGATAAATTGTTATTCTTTTTGATAAAATAAAACATAATATAATCATAGCTTTCTCTTTTTTTTCTTATAATTATTATTATTTAGCTGTACTGGACTTGGGAGTCTGTGGAATTATTTTTACTTGTCCATTTTATTTGCAAGAACAGATAATGGATAGATAGTCCATTTAAAAATGTATGTACAAAATTACAAAATGCATAATAGCAATAAAAAGCGTTTAATCGCTTTAAACACGGATAAAAATCCGTGCTTTAAACAATGAGTTTTCACGTGCTCTTTTCATAAGTTTTCCAAACTTCTATATATGAAACATAATTTTTCGTTCAACGAGAAAATTAGGACTACTATTCAGTCCACATTGCCATGCCAATAATGTTTAAATTATTATAAAATAATCTCCCCTTGATCATTAAGAACACACCCTGGCATATCCGCAAGGGAAATGTGCAGAACGCCTGTGATTCAGTCCGCATGTATTATAGGAACAACAAGAAAACATAATATCCTAACACATATCGAAAAATGACGTGAAACTTCTTAGAACTATATAGTTTTCCTTTTTAACAGATCCAAGCAATGTTTCCTACTGTATTTAGTTGTGGTAACGGCATCTTCTCGACTTCTTTCCGTCAAACTTCGGATAGTGTGGTTAAGAATTAGTAGTGTGATACCAACAGCAAATTATTTTACACGGGTGTAATTATTATGTGCACCGGATGCAGAGGCAGCAAGTATTCAATATTTTGATACAAAATAGGTGGTACAAAATAGGTAGGCCTACAAAGGACTAGGTGTGTTTGAAGTACTCAGCAAGTGGTTTTTTTTTTACAAAGAGATATAAGCTTTTTACTGGTAAGTTGATGTATAATTTTAAATTGTTGAAAAATCAAATGTAGAGCTTTCTTTAAAAAGTCAAAGCGAGCTCGATTTGGTAATTTAGGATGGTCCCCTATTCATGCTATTGTACCATAATTGTTCTAATAATTTATAATTTCAAGCAAATTGTACAAATAAAAAAAGTATCTTTTATGTACTATTTTATTAAATTGTGTTAAACTCTCGCAAGTTTACTTTAAAATACACTTGTCATTCATAGAATAAATCAATGATTCAAATTAGAAATATCTATGATCAGTCAGCCATGTTTTGAACTCGGGTGGGAATCAGTGTCAGCTCGGCCCTAAAACGTACTCGGCCCCCCGAGTCAGCTCGGCCCTATTCCAACTCGGCACGGGTCAACTTGGGCCTTAATTATATAATATATGGTAATGATTACATTTTATATGTTTTCATCATAACTTTCATTGTTAAACATTTTCACAGTAACAGACCTCTACTCAAAGTTATTGAAAAGTTTTATTGATGAAACAGAAAGTACCAATTTGTATGTGAATTTGTAGAGATGGGAAGAATTTACTTTATATGCACATTTTGCTTACTTCAATGTTTTTTGTAAAATATATTGTTCAAACAGCATTGGTTGCTTGTGTTTAAGAACAAACAGTGTTAAATACAATTACATTTATTATCATAAAAATTCAATTTAAAGATCAATATGTTACATTTATTGGGTTGACATCTTCTTAACAAAGATTATTTCAAATAATACGTACATGTTCACAGCCAACTTTTTAAATTTCTGTTTGTTAGTGATCATACAATGTATGATACCTCTGAATACTTTTATAGTAATTTACTCCATAAATTTTTATAAGCTAAACAATTTATATATCCTAATAGGTTTTTAATAGAGGGCCGAGTTGACCTGTGCCGGGTTGGTATAGGGCCGAGTTGACCCTTTACCCACAGGTGGCAGTATCAGTGTTTGGACACGCAGGGCTCAACAAATTTTTTGGGAGCAACTTAATAGGTACCTTATAGTAAGCCTTAGAGTGTTGAATTTTTTTTTCAGGGTTGTAGTAGGGGTGGGTCCAGGGGCAGATACATGTAGAGGTGGGGTTTCCAAACACTGATACTGTCACCAGTGGTTTTAAACGGGAGCTTAAATGGAGAGCACTATGGTACCATGGTATGTAAATTGATCTATAGCCCTTTTCAGCTTCAGTAGAATTTTTTTTTTCAACAGAACATGACCTCACTACAGTTTCAGCAGACGAGTTTCACTTGTCATAACATGGAATTATCAGTTTAACTAGTAAATTTGGGGTGCAATAAAGAAGTATTTTCAACACACGCAGGCAGCTTTGGATTTTCCTATCAATGACAGAAATTATTTGAACTGAAAATATTTCTAAAAATTTTTATCCAAATTCAAAAAGCAGCACTTCCACTTTCAGTTTATTGGTGGAAATAGTTGATTGGTCAGTGGTGTTCTGTGTGTAAAGACACACATGTTCTGATTACACGGGAATGAGCAAGGACGTGGTACCTGCGGGAGTACCATACTTTTAGTTTTACCATGAAATAGCACAGACATTTGAGGGCTGAGTTGACCTGGAATCACTCAGTTAATAAGTAGGGGTGTAACAATACAGCAAAAACCGTATTGCAATATATTGCCATTTTGCTGAAGCGTATTGCAATATATTGCAATACGTATTGTCGTGTATATGTTTTGATGTAAAGACGGAGTAACATTTATATATTATTATTATATGTATATATTTTTAGTAGCGAGCTCGACGAGCTGGCCCGAAGGGCCTGCTCGCAAAGCGAGCTTTACGGTAACGTGAGTACCTGCTAAGTGATGGTTTTGAAAACTTTCGTCCGAAGTACCGAATTGGACACATCGCAACTTTTCGAATTTAAAGATAACGATAAAAACTGAGGAACTCTGACTGAAAACGGATGTGTAGACTGGTCACCCGCGCACGTCTATGGGAACCATAATTGGACAGGGAACCAGAATAACGGAAGCTGTGTATAAAATATCACTCATATCGAATGACAGTTTTAAAACGGAAAATGTAAAATGAAAATTGAACGATTATTTTAACCGACCTTTCCCGTACATAGGTTTTGCCTGATTTCATTAAATGTACATTTACCTCCTCTTTTTGAAGAAACAAAACATTCTAGGCTATCGGAAATTTCTACAATGCACTGCCGTTCTTATTATCTCCCCGTGTATTTTCACATTGAAGGCGCCATTTTGTTTGAAAAATCTGATAAATAAAAACAATTTTTTGTCGAATTTTGTTGTGAAAACTATCTAGAATGAAAGAAAATGGTCTAACTAAGAAAATGAATCCTAACACCAATATCTTTTATTCAGTCGTTAACGCTGTACAGACGTTTAAAGTATTGTTTACGTGACGTCACAATGTAGCGCCAAACAGCACGTGCAAAACAATCAAATCAAGTACGCTATTTTAATGTCGCAAACGTGTTAAGTTTTACATTTATTTCACTTTTAATAATCTTTATTTCGCTTGAAAAATTATAGAGTGAAATAAAATAAACAAACAAAGTTTTATCAACGTTTGTTTTCAAAACTCGTTATTCATTTAACGACAGGGGCGGAGCCATATTTAACACAGTACGTGTGACGTCACACGCACTCGTCACTGCATTTGAGATTATTTCATACTATTTCACGTTAATAGAAAATACATGGTTGATGTCGGGATGGAGAAGGTTTATCCGGTGAGCGAGAAAGTGTATCTTGGCGAGCTTTAGCGAGCCAAGATTCACTTTCGCAGAGAACCGGATAAACCTCTCCATCCAGACATCAACCATGTATTTGATTTATCCTGCTTTTAATCATGTTTTTAGAATAATTAAATGGTTTCATTCTTCCTTTTCCCCCATAAAATGGCATCTATATGTATTTTTGTTTTGCTGCTAAACATGTGGCGTCATCATATGACGTAATGACTGGAGATAGATAAGTTTATCAGGCAAGGCTTTATCCAGCTAATGATATAGACAGTAGCAGGATAAAAAGTACATCGAGCTCGCTTTGAGGCTTTGCCTTTTTCATATTAGAAACTTAATAGCGAGCTCGACGAGCTGGCCCGAAGGGCCTGCTCGCAAAGCGAGCTTTACGGTAACGCGAGTACCTGCTAAGTGATGGTTTAGAAAACTTTCGTCCATAGTACCGAATTGGACACATCGCAACCTTTCGAATTTAAAGATAACGATAAAAACTGAGGAATTCTGACTTAAAACGGATGTGTAGACTGGTCACCCGCGCACGTCTATGGGAACCATAATTGGACAGGGAACCAGAATAACGGAAGCTGTGTATAAAAAATGAAAATCGAAGGCGCCATTTTGTTTGAAATCTGATAAATAAAAACAATTTTTTGTCGAATTTTGTTGTGAAAAACTATCTAGAATGAAAGAAAATGGTCTAACTAAGAAAAATGAATCCGAACACCAATATCTTTTATTCAGTCGTTAACGCTGTACAGACGTTTAAAATATTGTTTACTTGACGTCACAATGTAGCGCCAAACAGCACGTGCAAAACAAACAAATCAAGTACGCTATTTTAATGTCGCAAATGTTTTAAGTTTTACATGTATTTCACTTTAAATAATCTTTATTTCGCTTGAAAATTTATAGAGTGAAATAAAATAAACAAAGTTTTATCAACGTTTTCAAAACTCGTTATTCATTTCACGACAGGGGCGGAGCCATAAATTAAGACAGTAGTATGACGTCACACGCACTCGTTACTGCATTTGAAATAAAAATTAGCGATTATTTCATGCTATTTCACATAAAAAGTACATCGAGCTCGCTTTAAGGCTTTGCCTTTTTCATATTAAAAATGTAAGGAATAAATAGAAAGTAGTGTCACACAATTTGATAAACAAAACTAGTCGCGTGTAACCTTTCACATCTGGGCCACTTATGTAAATTATGCGGCCGCTTATTGACTTTTAAGTGTACTAGTTGTCGGATACTTTTATCTTACGTTGGCGCCAACAAAATTTGCCAATTAAAGATTTTATGTGAAATTTGTACAAAATTTGAAGGCAATTAATTGAAAATTATGATTTTTATAAAATACCGGTTTTCCAAAAATCGTACCGCGGTTCAAAATTCATTTTTTCATATTGCAATATATCGGTATACCGGTAAACCGTTACACCCTTATTAATTAGTCCTCTTTAGTCCTATTAATTAAGTGCTTTTGCTTTGAGATATTTTTACTCATTAGCACAGTTCCTTCATAGCGAAAATGCTCACAAACCCATACATGACGTAGCAAGTTCCACAAGAAAATCTTGCCAAATGATTATAGATATAACACTTGAGACAGCATAAAAGCATTAATTTTGAGGTGTTTGTGAACAAAAGTAAAAGAAAAATATCTTTTAACAAAATAAAAAAAGTGCCACATCCGGAAAATAATATTTAAATCCTTTTATTTGATTAAAGTCCTTATGCAGTCAAAAAATAAAAATTATTAAATAAAGGTTCATAACACTAAACACTAAATCTGAAATTTAATAGAGTCAGACTTCATTCCAATATTTCGAAGGAAATGTTTTTGTACGAAATATTTGCCCAGCATGTACAAATATATTTTTCAGTTAGAAAATTTGTGACAAATTATTTTTGTATAAGATAATTATTTTTTACTTTTGTTCATGAACAGCTCAAATAAATGCATTTATATGCTGATTTATGTACTTGGTAGATCTTTCAGCGATAGGGTAAACATTTCGATAGAAGGGGTTGAACTTTGTACAAAAGAGTATTAGGATTATTGTATTTTGTTCTTTTGAAATGTCATCTTTTTATGACAATAAACTTGTATGTCAAGTTTAAAGTGAATACATGTCGCTTTTATAAAGTCAGGGCTCTTGTAAGCATTTTGAGACTGGGGCCAGGGTCCATGCAGGGGGTGGCGGGGGGAATTTCGCATGATTTCAAAT